TCGTCGTCGTCGTTGTCGTCGTCGCCGCCGCCAGCCGGACAGCCAGCCAGCCAGCCAAAAGTCAACCAGAGGTCAACCAGGGCCCAGCCAGCCAACCAGCCAGGCAGCCGGCCAGGCAGCCGGACGGCCAGCCAGCCAGCCAGACAGCCAGCCAGCCAGCCAGAAGTTAACCAGAAGCCACCCAGCAAGCCAGCCAGCGAGCCAGCAAACCAGCCAGACAGCCAGCCAGACAGCCAGCCAGCCAGCCAGCAAACCAGCCAGACAGCCAGCCAGTTAGCCAGCCAGCCCGCCAGCCCGCCGGCCTGCCAGCCAGTCAGCCGGCCAGCCGCGGCCAACTAACGATTATGGTTGGCTTTTGGTTGCCTCTGGTTGGCAGGCACCCGCCAGCCAAGTTACACGGGTTTTGGCCCCATTTCCAACCAGAACGAACCACAAGCCAACCGAGATCGGCTTGACACCATGTAGGTGCATCTGGTTGACTTCTGGTTGCTTTCTGGTTGGTCATGGGTTGTTCTGGGCGTTCTAGCCGCTCACGTTACACGTGTTTAGGCCGCATTTCTAACCAGAAACCAACCAACTTCAACCGAACAGCACTTACACGTTGTAAACAAACTTTACACGTTGTAAACACGAACTCTGTGTTGAGAACACTCCGCCCGCATTCAGGCTGGGCACTGTAGTGCCACACTGGGTTTCTCGCCTGTTTGTCGAGTGTCAGCAGGGGGCGCTTGCCCGCGCCCAAGAACGCCCCGAGGTGGCCCCGACCTGCTCCCAGGGCGGAGCCTGGGAGCCGAGAGGCAGCCCCAGAGAGAGGAGGATGTGGGATCTCGAGGTCGCGCACAACCTTGGTCGGGAGCTCTCCTTGTGCTCGGTCTGGCACAGCAGGATGGAAGCACCTTGGATGCCTCAGTTGCGCGTGCGTGCGCGAGGATGGCCAAATCAGATCTCCTGACCCTCCTCCTCCTCCTCCACCCTCATTATCCGTGGGCCTCGTGGCTGGCGAAGACCCCAAATAGGATGGAAAGCACCAGGTGGAAGGCGGCACTGCTCAGGCAGATCATGTACGCATTGAGCACGAAGGCTGGGCAGCTCGAGGGCACCTGCCAGCAAACTTGTCTTCGATCGCAGTGAGCTTACCACACTCACTCACACACGCATGCACACACACACACACACACTCTCGCGCACACACAAACACACACACAAACTCACACACACACACGCGCACACGCGCACACGCGCGCACACACACGTCAAAAGGCGTGTGCTGTAATGTGCTGTGTTGTGTTGTGCTGTGCCGTTGTGTGCTGTGATGAGCTGTGCTGGCCACGCGCACACGCACACGCGCAACGTTGCTATGCCGCGCTGCGATGTGTCGTGTTGCGCCGTTGTGTCCGCAACTGGTCGTTGTGGAAACGTAGCCGTCTCCATCCTTGATCGCTGTTATGTCTTCTCCGGGTAATGTAATGGCATGTGTTTTCACGGCCTTCTCTGCCCTGGCGCTGCCCCGAGCCATGGTGGCGTGTTTGAGGCTCTTGTGGGATTGCGACGGCGTTGTGGCGGGCCTCCTGGGACTCCGCCGTGTGGTATGTTGCTCGGACGCGGTCGCCCGTGGCTGGTGCTGGGCTGGCTGCTCGTGTCTGGCCTCTCGCTCCGCCTCCCCGTCGGGCGATTCATGGTCTCTGGACGGTGGGCTTGCTGTTCGGCGATTCCGAAGGGTGTGATTTGCAAAGAGTGTTGTTTGCAACGGGCACCCTGGGTGGCACCCTGGGGGGCGGGCGAGGATCTCGACAGAGCTCTACGCCGCGTCCCGAGGAGGCCCGACGAG